GGGGTGTGTGGTGGAGGGGAAGGGGTGTGTGGTGGAGGGGAAGGGGTGTGTGGTGGAGCTAATGGAATGTGTGGTGGAGGGGAAGGGGTATGTGGTGGTGTGTGTGGTGGAGGTGATGAGGAGTGTGGCGGAGGTGATGGAGAGTGTGGTGGAGGCGAAGGGGTGTGTGATGGAGAGTGTGGTAGAGATGAAGGGGTGTGTGGTGGAGGTGATGGAGAGTGTGGCGGAGGTGATGGGGAGTGTGGTGGAGGGCGAGAAGAATGCAGAGCCAAGCACCTGGATCCCTGATGTTCTGCGGCGGACCCTGCTTGGGTCTCACCAGCCCGACCCCTTTCTCCAGGAGTCCCCAGGCACCCCCTGAATGGGTGGCCTGGGCCTCGCTCCCCCAGCCTCAGCTCCCAGCCTCTGCTCTTCCTCTCTGAATCCCCGTCCAGGGGAGCAGTCTCCTGCCTCAGGCCATTACCAGCCCTTGTAAGGCACCTGTGAGGACAGCAGGTGGCTACCACTGTGTCTCCTGCCTCCAGGACAGTGACCGGCACACAGCAGAACCCCATTATTGTTTCTAGAACGAATAACTCGATGGGCTCCTGTTGGTCCAGGTTTCTTCACGGCCAGGCCCAGCGGTGCCCCTGGCGGCACCAGGTCCCCCCTTCCTCGCTCCCTCAGGCCTCAGCCAGGCTTGGCCTTGGCTTCCCGTTGCATGGTGGGCGCTGGGACCTGCTCAGGTTGTTGGGATCCTGCACCAGCTTGAGGGTCCAGTTCCGTCCACTGACAGTGGTACCAGCAGTGGTACCTCCCACTTCTGGCCAACGCCCTCACAGGAAGGGGGAGTCGGAGTTGCATCTGGTGGTGACAGGCTTGACACCATTGCGGTGCCCTTCTGTATTAGCTCCTGGTCCCTAGGAGCAAATCCAGTGGAGCTTCAGGCTCGGTTTGCTCAGTAGTGGGTGATAAAGATGTGCAAGAGCTCTGCCATCTGTGAGCCTGCCTCCAGCCAGGGAGAAATCTACTGGCAGCCTGGCCCTGAGGTCTTCAAAGTGCGTTTGCAGGACAGATGCCCTTAGCAGAAGCCAGTCTGAGGAGGCTTGGTGAGGCTTCCATCGGGACCTGAGAGTTAAGTCTTCTGTTACCTTGCTTTTCTTCTTGGAGTCCTTTCCAAATTGAGGGACATGAAGACAGTGAATGTTTCTGTCAAAGTGCCTTGGGTTTTAAATGTAGCTGTCGTACCCTCTGATCTGGAGGTGAAGCCTGACACCAGATGTGGCAATGACTGTCTCCTCTCTGTTGCGGGCGAGCATGACATCTGCCCTTGGCAGTGTCATGCATGCCAACCTTCTGGGCACCCCATGTAGCCCATGGCCCAGGACAGTACAGGGTCATTTGGCTCCTTTGCCTGACTTGGGTCCAGGGTTTGTCCTGTAGTCCCCATCTCCAGACAGCCCCATGTGCTACCCACTTGTGATGTCTTCAGACAGGAACTTGAAGCCAACTTATGGAGCAGGTGAAAATTCACTGTCACTACTTTGGATTTTCCCTTTCCCCCATTTTTTAAATTGGTGCATTGCAGATGTACATCACGGTGTGGTCTCTTGTCATATAGCCATGTGTGCACACAGTGTTACAATATAATTTGCCCAATGTCATTGGTTTGTTCCAATTTTCATTGAGGTTATGGGATAATATGAATGTTTTCCTATACAAACATGCACACTCACACAGAGACACACAAACCAACAGACACACATAGATGAGGACACACAGATGGATCCTCGTTGAAGGTGATTTGTTTCATTTCTCTGATAATTAGTTTTGGTGAGGACTAGGGTGTCTGGCCAGAAAAAGATGCAGTCTTTTTTCCACCCCCCAGTGGCAGAGCAGCATGGGTTATACTCAAAGCATAAAGTGGACCACTGTCCCATTCCCCACTGTCAATCTCTACATTCCATTTCTGTGGAAACATGGGTGACAACATCTCCAAACTATTTTCTGCTGAAAGGGGTGGGGATGTTGGGGAAAGTAACCCAAGGTCCTTGTTCTCTATCAGGTGGGGTGTGGAAAAGACGCAGTCTCATTTAGCAGGAATCTGTGGCTCACAAAACATCCTCCACAGCAGGATTGTTGAGCACAAAATGCTAATCCAAGTGTTCTCTGCTTGATTCCCAAATCTCCATGATTTCCCCAAGGATCAGGATTTCCAATATGAGTTAAAATAGGCTATGCACTCCAACAGTCAGGAAAGGAGGGCAGGATATCAGTAAATGTGATGTAAACTCAATGCAAGATTCACAAGGGAAGCAGGCTTCAGAGAGCCACGGAGAGGGGCGTGGTCTGCAAGCTTGTAGCAGCCTGTGGTGCTGACCTAAGACTGGCCAACCCAAAGTGGGGAGGCGAAACCCTTAAGACGCTCGCACTTGATGGTGTACATATGAATTCTTGGGGAGAGAATTCATAATGTTTTTAAAAATTGGATTCTTATGGAAGTTAATGTCATTGAATGGGAGAGAAAAAGTTCTTATATTTGCAGAAAAAAGTTATGTGTTGGTATTAACACGATTTTGAGTTTATGCACAGAAAGGCAGTTGAAATACCATCTAAGGAGCCTTCCGTCTTTCCTTAGGCGTCACCTGGCAGAGCACGTGAAGGGTGAACCTGCTCCTCCTGGGATGGCCACAGCACCCCTGGCCCTGGAGCACATGGTTCTGACTCACCGCGTGGTGGTTAGCTCCCGTCCTTCCTCTGATGTCGCCCTCCAGGAGATCAAAGGGCAGATGAGATGGGAGCCAGGGCTGGAAAGCTGCAGGGTGGGAGGTGTGGTGGGAGCAGGGTCCCAGCAGGGGAAGGTCTGAGGATTTCAGGGCTGGGAACTCGATGGGCCAGAGGTGGAAATAGGGAAATTCCTGAGCCATGGAAGGAGCTGGAGGGAAGGAGCCATTTCCTCATTCCCTGGTGAGAAAGAGCAAATGGCCAATAGTGAGGCGAGGCAAGGGGGTGCCCCGGGACACTCACCTTGAAGGTTTCATATATATGGGTGGGTTTTTTTTCTTTCATTGTAGGAGGCCAAGACAGGAAGTCGGTACTGGATTAACTACGTGGTTGAAGAATAAAGCTGCCCTATCAGAACTAGAGGCAAAGAAGGAAGGAGAAAGAAATGTTGAAATTCCCCAAGAAGTAAGGAAAAGACAGCTTTCTCTTTCTTTAATCCGCAGTTCAAGTAGGTAAGCAGGTACTCAACACGCAGCTTCAAGCCTGTTCCTCACCGTGTGACGACTCCACGGGGAAGCCCAGGTGACCAAGAATCCCTAGAAGCAGGCCCCGGTAGGATCAGACTCACAGTGAAACCAGGTCCTAGAGACGGTCAGCACCGGTACACAATCAGCCTGTGTTTTCTGTGCCTGACCAGAGTGTTATGGCCGAACAAACCTCAATATGAATTTTTAAACTGTGAGAGAAAATATTTGAAAAGGAGTGAAATAGAGATTGTGAAGTGGAAAAATATAACAAGTGAAAAGAATATTCAGTGAGTGAGTTGAACAGTAGCTTGGGTGTACCTGAAGATGAACCCCTGAACTAGCCAGGTCAGAAGAACGACCTCATGCAGCACTGGAGACAGAGATGGAACCTGAGAGGGCCCGGGACCCAGAGGACGGAGGAAGAAGTCCAGCACGTCTAATCAGCTCCACTAGCAATCATGGAGAGGAGGGGGAAGAAGCAGGATTCGAAGAGAGAAGAATTTCCTCTGATTTAGGAAACTCAAGAATCATGAACAAAGTGAGTCAAAAGAATACCACCCAATATGAAGTGGAGATCGTTGAAGGATCCCCAGAAAAACAAGGGGAGAATACCCAGAAATGCAGACAGCTCCTCAATAGGAGTAACAGGCAAATTCTCTCAGAGTGATTTTAGCAGGAAGGAAGAGAGGGCTGGGGATGTGGCTCCGCGGCAGAGCTCGTGCCTCGCATGAGTGAGGCCCGGGTTCCTGCCCCAGCCCTGCAGAAGAAGAGGAAGAAGAAAAGAAATTATAAATAAGTAATAGAAATCCTAAAAAGTCCTACAAATGTTAAATAAAACCAACGAATTAAAAAGCTTTCCACCAATAACATAAGGAAACTCTAGGCCCATGTGGTTTCAGGGCAGAATTCTACAAACCCCATTGTTCATGCATAACTCTCTCAGAACGCGGGAGCCAGCATGTGAAGGCAGGTGACCTCAATTCCTGACCAGAGCAGGCGTGTGTCACCAGGAGGAAACACAGCCACCTCAGGCAGGAACACACCTGCTTGACTCTGGAAGAAAATGAGAACTGATGGGGCCTAGTGGTGCCGCTCGATTCAGTAAGTTCTGCTTATAATAAAGTAACAGGAAATCATGACTCGGAGGGAAATCCTTCAATCTGAAGGTACACACACACACACACACACACACACACACACACACACACACACTCACACACGTAAAAATATACTTCACATCTTTCCCATTTTTATTCCATATAGTATGGGAAGTCTGACTCATATCATAGGAAAGAAAAAGATTTAAAAGCTGTAAAGTTTATAAAACAAGATATAAACTTGTCTTTTAAATAGAAAAATTCCAACAAATCTACAGATTGATTATTGTTTGATTTGGAAGATTGCTAGAAAAAGGTGAAGATACAAAAATTGACGAGATTTCTATATACCAGCAAAAATTCAACAGAGAAATGTCATTTACAATGGTATCAAAAATAGCAAACATCTAGGGATGATTTTAATGAAATCGTGCACTATGAAAACCATGTGCTATTTTTGGAGAATATTTTTTAAACTAACTAAATAAATGGATACACCTGTTTTGTGGATTGGAAGACTTGATACCATAATGATTTCAATTTCGCACAAGTTATAGATTCTATATGATTCCAACTGTTATCCAACAGTTTTAATTTAAACACAACAAATCGATGCTAACACCTATATAGAAATGTAAAGTTTCAAGTAGGTCAAAATATTCTCTCTTGAAGACCTTGTACCAGTTCGGACAATGCTGTAGCAATAGGCCTAGAATGGACCCATGTGAACCTGCTCGCACACACACCAAGCACAGAGCGCAGAGAAAGACCCTCACGTCTGTGCACACAGCTTGCAACAAGAGTGGTCTTCAGGGCAGCTGGGAGAGGACACTTTCAGCAAGTGACCCTCGGCCACGTGGGCAACCCTGGATGGGGGAAAACCACACCAATCAGTTCTGAATCGATCGTAGGTCCCAGGGGCAAAAGTACAAGTGAAGTCCTAAAATATAACTTAGGAAGTAACTTTATGCTGTCAAGTAGGGGAGACTTTCACAAGTAGGGTTCAAAAATCATTTTTCACTGAGAAAAACGTTAATGAAGTAGACTACATTAAATTAAAAACCACTTTTTTGGGGGGGTGTCAAAAGATGCCCATGAGCTAATTGAGAGGTGAGACAAGGTAGAATAAAATATTTCCAACACTGGTACCGGCAACAGGCTTGCAGACAAAATAGGTGAAGAACGCCGACAAACACAGAGCCCAGAGGCAGCGGCCGGACAGAGAAGGGAGAGGTTTGAACAGAGGGTCAGACCATAGCAGATGGCCAGGGAAGCCCAAGGTGGGCTCAGCGCTTGAGTGGTCAGAAGGGAAGGTCATCACCCCAGGGACAGGTCGCCACCCTGACCAGGATGACTACAGTGAAGAGAGACACGTGTGGACGTGGGCACCCTGGATCCAGGCAGTGAGACCCCCTTCCTGTGTGCTGACCTGTTCGCCTCTTTGCCTTCCTACTGTGTGTCTGAAACACGCCCCTGAACCAGGGACTGAGAATCTGAGCTCCTCTGGGCGCTCCTGTCTGTGGGCTCTGCAGCAGCCCCCGGTGGGGATCGAGGAGGGAGCCTCTGCCTCCAGGCTCTCTTCCTGCCCTCCACCCCCCCCCCCCAGGCACAGTGCAGGGAAGGCCAGTTCTCTCAGGGGAGGAGAAGGGGCCATGAGGCCCTCGTTGGCCTTGTTTCCTATGTTTGAATTGGCAGGTGGCATGTCTCACATGTTACATGTGTGACCATCAACTCAGGAGCAGTCGGCACACTGGGAGGAGGTGCCAGGAGCAGGAGTGGGAAGGTGGGTGTTGGGTTAGGTAGACCCAGGTGATGGGTGGGAGCCGGTGAGGGGTCAGTCCAGGAAAGAAGATTTTACTCTTATTTTGACCCGAGCTTAACTACACTCCATCCACCCTGGATAAAGACTTGGGTGGCAAGACCCCCTGGGCTGCACATTTAGAGTCAACAGATTAAGGCAAAACCATTTTGGTTTAAAAAATGAGGGGAAAAAAGGTATTTCTGAACATATAAGTTGCCTCTAATAACTACACCTTCAGAAAATCATTTACAAGAATCTAATCTCCAAGCATAATTACTATTCACTAAGAGGATGGGTAAAATTGACCAAAATGATGGTTTATTACAATAGCAGGAGGCCACAGGGCATCTAACAGGTGAACTCAGCTACCGTGGTTAGCCAAAAAAAAAAGTCTCTGGACTTTGCACCAGGGTCCAAGTCAAAACTTTCACGTGGTACAATTTAGATGCTGGGAGAACTGGGGTCTGCTGGGTAACAGCATCCTGCAGTTTACACACAAACACATCTCTCTACTTTATGAGTAAATCATTTTAAAGGTATTTGAACTGCATTCAGAACTTTAGAACTCATCCTGGCAAGGAGCGGCTCTGGCCTCTTCTCCACAGATTCGCAGGACAGAAGGCAGCCCCAGTTCTGAGCTGGCACTGCCCGTGAGTCCTGGAGGGGACAGGAAGTCATGCCCATTGCTTGGCCACTTGGCAACACTTGCTGAGGGCTTGCTGTGCACCCCTCCAGCTACCGGGAGCACCCAGCTGAATAGGATGGGCAGTCACTGCCCTGTGCTCCATGGGGGTATGGAGATTCTGTGGCAACTCCAGGGGGCTTTAGGAGAAGCTGCCATCATGAGGTTGGGAGAGCAATTGTATACATAGTTAACGAAGAAAGTGCAATGTCAAGTCACATCGAAAACAGAACTGTACTTCTGTAAAATCACATTTCTGTGGACTGAGTTGTAAGAACTCTTGGGAAAATTAGTAAGTTAGTTCTGGGGAAGGAAAGAAAGAAATTTGCAAAATTCCCACATCTTTCAGGAAGGAAGGAAGAGTTACTACTATTCTTCCTCCTATCTGGCTAAAGAATGAGAAAGAACTCAAGAAAAAGAAGTGGCCTAAGTAAATTATAATCCTTTAGCAATGTTTTCAACTTCCAGATAAATATATGTACCCATTATAGTCTCCAGAAAGAAGAAAAAATTGCTGAAATCGTTCACATAGGTTACATAGCCCTTATCCAAAATGCTAACCACAAGAAGTGTTTCAGATTTTAGTTTTTTTGGATTTTGGAATATTTACATAGACTTTACCAGTTGAGTATTTCTAATCTGAAAATCAGAAATCCTAAATGCTTCCAAGTCAAACCTTTTGAGTATTGGTGCTTAACGAGTTTCAGATTTTGGAGCCCTTGGGATTTTTTCAGATCAGGGATGTTCAGCCGGTAGGAAAAGAACAGTAGTAGGGAAGTGGCATATAAAGAATGTTCTAGATTGGGTCCAGTTCTGCCGCAGTCCGGCTGCAGCAAAATAACCTGGGGGGTGACGAGCAACTTGTGTACATTGATACAGCAGGAGTGGGAGCCGTTTATTGTAGGACTGGAGGGGTATATATACATTCCACACAGCTTATCTTTAACATAAACTCGATACAGCAGTCAACCAATAAGGAATCTCCACACTTAATGGCTCGCTGGCGCCACCTCACAAACCACTCCCTCTGGCAAAATGCCAGGCACCATCCCGACTTGTTTACAGACCCTAACACAGTTCTTGAGCAAAAGGTCATGGTGGATAGCAGAATGGCCAGCACATTCTCCCTGACCTTCTAACATTTGCTGTAGTGAAGAGGAAGACTTTGCTCGGTGTGGAATACTGATGATTTCAGTCTTCAGTGGGACTGGTCATGGGATGCTTGTTTTTCAACCCCAAAATGACTGTGGCTCTGAGCTGGGTCATGGACCCACTCACTTTCGGAGACTCCTTCCTCACCTTGATGCATAACCCAAAGCAGCACTGACTCAGAGCTACATCTTATTAACCTCCACAGACCATGTCTGCTTGATAACAGAGAAACGCAGGCTGGGTATATCGTAGGACTTTTCTGTGGGAGGCCAGCACTCACCTGGTGGACAGTCAACTAGCCAACTGAAGGTGCACATTATTTCCTGATGTAAAATTTGCAAATTTCCCACATCTCTTAGTTTTAACTAGGTTTTAAAATTGTAATGTAAATTTATTTTCCCGCGGACACCAGGCCACGCTGCATGTTTCAAGTGTGTGCTGTCCTTGGCTTCTACAACCTCCCAGGCTTGCCCGGGTGCCCTGCTTCTCCACGCCTCTGTCCCAGGACCCTGCAGCTGTAGTAGTGACATAGTTTGATCCTAAAGCCACCACTGGAGTGAAGGCTGCTTCAAAGTCAGAGGATGTGCCTGCCAAAGACCAGTGATGGCCCTGGAGTGGCCTTTGTCTGGAATGGCTGCAGCCACCAGCTGACTTGGAGTTCCAGTCCCATGGCCACCGTGGCACTGGGCATGCTGCTGGCCTTTCTGATCTACATTTTGCTTCCCAGTGGGCATCTTAAACCCAGGCTGACGCCAACACTGCTGCACAGGGTTCTTTGGAGACAGGCTGGGTCAGGTGTGCTGGCTTCCTCTCCAGTGGCCACATCTGCGGTTACCACCAGCCTCTCAGAGTGCAGCGCAGGCCATTTAGGGTGAACGTGAGATTACTGGCCTTTCCCCCAGAGTTCCGAAGGAATGAACCAGACCCTCTCCCTATTCCCGGACCCTCCCCGTCAGTTTCCTTCCACACTTGTGTGAACGGGGTGGACAGGAGAGGGGGAAATACATTGTTTCTACTTCCTGTATGTTTACCTTCATCTGATAGAAGTTTGGTTGGGTTTAAATGAGCACAACTCAGAAATCACATTGGCACTGCATTTGAACTCTCCAGCCAGCTTCTGCCGCCTGGGATAGAGCGGGCAGTTCACCCTACTGTGCTGTCCCATCTCAAGGGCCCTGTGCACAAGACAGTGAGCCCAGGTGCTTCCCGTGGTGGAGGCTGAGGGGCCGAGCCCCCTGGGAGCTGTGAGAGTTGAAGCAGGCTCACTCAGCCCAGTCCCTGGGGAGCCGCGTCCCAGACTGCTCTCCAGGTGTCCCAAGTCCCGCTCCGTCCCATTTGCATTATCAGTCTGGTTCCTGGTAAGTGGGAAAGAATGACCTGAACCCCCTTCCCCTGGCCGGCAGCCTCTCCTGCCTCCACCCTCACAGCCCCAGCCAGAGCCTTCTGCAGATCTGGGCTGAGACTCCATCGCTCCTGGTCCAGTCCTTCACAGCTGTCCTGGTCCACAGCGCTCACAGGAGTCTCTGCAAGGTGCCTGGGAAAGGATGTCTGCAGGGAGCGGTCCTCCCACTCTCCCTTCAAACACCGCCGGCCGCCCCTCCCCGCCCCTCCCCACCCGGCCCTTTCCTGGCCCGTTAGCACCGAGGCGTTTGTCTCCAGGTAAGATCTGCCAGGCCCGCCTCCTGACTGAGCCTCCCCTGCTCTGCCCTCAGGCCACCGTCTTGAGAGTCTCCACTGTCATTGAAATGAGGTGCTGTCTCTCAGTCTGCAGTTCTCATTTTGTTCCTTCTTATCTGCCTTCCTCCGATACCCAGGTTCTCTGCGGGTCCTGCCTCCCCTGCTGTTCTGAGTGCCCTGTGGTTCCTCAACGGAGAC